ACCCCCGGGGTGGTTTAACGCCTCATCTTCACCTGCCTGTTCCTGTGGGCTGGAGAAAGGGGGAAAGACTGAGGAAGGAGAATATTCCTGTTCCCGATGGAGGGGAGCCTGAAGTAGGGTGGAGGGGGTGGGACGTGCCCTTCTATAACTCCCTGCCCGCAGCATCCGGAGCTGTGTGCGGTGCCGGCAGGAACGCGCAGCCCGCCAGGGTCCGCCGTCCCCCCGGGGATGAACGGCAGCGGGAACCCGCCGGGGACAAAAGACCCTGCGGGGCAGAGAATGACGAGGCTGGCAGTGGGACAAGGGGGAGGCAGCAGGGCCACGGTGTGTTCCCCCACTGCCACAGGCTATGTCGGGGGGTCTGCGGGCAGGGTGTGCTCACCTCCAGGTGAGCAAGGCTGGCAGGGACGCCAAAGGCCCCGGTGATGGGCACAGGTCACCTGCCATGGCTGGCATTGGGACAGCCACGAAGCTGGGCACCGCCCGTCCTTCGGGGCACCTCTGGGTGGCAAAGGGAGGTGTCGGGGGACAGGAGGAAGCCCCCACCCCGTCCCAGGGCGTCGCTGTCTCCGCTCACCCTCCCGGCCGCCCCAAGCCCCCCGGTCCCCGCGGGAGCGGGGCCTGGCGGGTACCTTTCCGTGCGCCTCGTCCCTCCGCCGCCGGCCGCCCCGCTCAGTGCCACATTGTCCCCGGCGGCGCCCAGTGACACCCGGGGCAGGAACAATGAGCCGCTTGACAGGCCAGGGCCAGGCTGGCAGCCCCGGCCCCCACCCCGGTCCACGCCGGGGCCCCCCTCGCTCTTCCCCTCTCCCACATCCCTCCCTCCGGGATCCTATTACAGCGGATAAGAGACACTAAAAGGAACAATGCACCCTGGGTAAGGCCATCTGCCACCGCTGGGGACATTCCTGGCCCCCCCTCCCGGTCCCCCCTCCCTTGGCTCACACATCACCCCTCTTTGTAATTGCGTGGTTTTTTTCCTGGAAGCTGATCAGCTGGCAGGGCTCAAGGGCTCAAGGACACCGGAGCGGGCAGGGATGGGGCAGCTGGCACCCCAGGGCCCATTGGCACTCCGGGCTGCTGCTGGGAGGGAGTGCCTGGAGGGCTGTGGGGCAGGAGGCACTCCTGTATGGGGAGGGCCAGGGCTGTAACAGGGGACCTGAACCAGGTGTGGGGTCAGGGATGCTCCAGACCGGGGTCCTGCCATATCACCAGGGCAGGCACCAGCTCCTGCATCCTTGGCACTGCCTTGTGGCCCCCACATGAGCATCCTGCACCCACATAAAAGTGCCCCCCCCTCTGTTACCTCCCCCACTAAATCCTCCTGGGCCCTGGCGTAAGCAGCTAAAGCCCAGGCAGGCTTGTGGAAGGGGGGGCATTGGGGGGGCACCCTGCTGCTGGCTCCATCTGTGCCCCTGAGTGCCCAGTGCAGCAGCACTAAAGAGGAAGGAGGCAGGTGGCAGGCAGGGGTCTTGTCCCCCTATCTGTCAGGCCTCCCCACCCGCCCCCTCATCTGTTCATAGCAGCCACTCCTTGGGTAAATCTGCCCCCACCTCCCTGGGGCGCTGGGCTGGCAGTTCCCTTTTAAGCCCCTGTGGATTACCCTGGACTTGGGTGCATGCTAGGAGAGGTGGGAGGAGGAAGAGGAAGCAAGAAGGCTGGGGACACGGCTGTCAGTACCTTGGGGAACCTACCTGTCCCTGACCGCAGCCCCAGGGCTCCCTGGGCACCCTCTGAGGCACATGGGGGTCCTGCCAGAAGTGGTGGGTGGGCTCCAGTGAGGCTGGCACTTGCCAATCCACAGGGCAATGATCCCCAACTGTACCATCCCTCAGTGGCTGCACCTTCCCTGCTATCACCCCCCAAACTTGCACAGGACAGCAGCCACAGAGGTGGGGACTGGGGAAGGAGGTGGGAAGGGTGGAAAGAAGCAGGATGAAGGTGGCAGGAAAGCAGTGGCAGAGCTTGGGGTTTTATTTGGTCCCAAGGGAGGTGGGTGATGGCGTAGGCCAGAGTGGTGTGGGTGCCAGGCAAGCGGCTGAGCTGGCACGAGGGTGCATGTGCAGGCAGAGGGATGGGTGGGCTGGTCACATCCTCCTGCTTCATGGTCCCATCCTGCTCACACCAGCTGCTGCAGGAAGGCCAGGAGTCCACGGTGCCACTCATTGGGCTTGTCCAGGTAGCAGGGGTGTCCAGCACCCTGCAGCATCAGCACCTGATGCTCAGGGAGGTGCCGCAGGTTGTTCAGGCTGGTCTCCCCCAGCTCCACGTCCTGGTCCCCATACACGATCAGCGTGGGGGTCTGCAGAGGGGGAATGCAGAGGGGCAGCCTGTGAGTGGGATCCAGGCACCCAGGCACTTGTTCCTCCTGGCCAGGAACACCCTAGAGGGGATACACTTGCCCTTCTATCCCACTCATCAGGACAAGAGGCTCACACTCCTGGGTCTCTTTCCCTTCTGCTATCCCACATCACATTCCTTCATCATGATGTTCTCCTTTTCCAGTGGCAACACAGTTTCTGGCCTGTTTAGTCTTTCCCCACTCAACTCCAGTGCCAAGGCCCCCTTTTCACCATCCCCTCCCAGTTCCCTGACCTCCCCCAGTGCCCCTCCAGGCCGTACTTTGATCTGGGCATACTGCTCCGCCGTGAATTTGTCAGTGCAGATGGGTGCCACAGGTACATATGCCTTGACCAGGTGGCTGTGCTCTAGGAGGAAGGGCAGGGAGTACATGCCGCTGAGCGATGGGCTGATCACCACAGCTGGACCAAGGCACAGAGCCTCCGAAACTGCCTTCAGGAATTCTGCCGGCGCTGGCTGGCCCACGGGCGCTGGGGCCACGGCATCCTTGGAGCGCCCCAGCCCTGAGAGACACAAGTGGCCCTGTCAGGCTCCCTGCTGCCTCAGTGAGCAGGAGAAGCTGGCAAAGCACAGCTGGATGCCGGGGTTGCCATCCTGGCACCACAAACCCAGTGGGTGCATCGGCCCCACCTGGCTCCAGGGCTGTGGTCAC